CCCTGTGTTACCAGCAGGAGAAGGAGCATCTCAGTACCGCAGCGCAGCCTGGGACCCTGTGCACTGCCAGCAGCCCTGGTCTGGAGCAGCAGATCCACTCTGTACCGAGGCGCAGCCTTGCAGGTCTGTGTCCTCTGGTGCATCAGTGTCGAGAGCCTGCCAGCAGTGGCCGAGTCTGTTCTGCGCCTCGCGGAGCTGGAGCTGGAGAGGGGCACCAAAGCAGAAATCACAATGCCTGCCCTTCCAGACAGGAGAGTTCCCGCCTGAACTCTGTCCTGACAGCTCCAGCACTCGGCTTTCTTGCCTCAGACCTGGGGCGCTTGTATTTCTAGGAAACGGTTTCCTAGTGCTAATAAAACATCTCTTCCTTAACGTCTTGCTGCTAACGTGCTGTGAGGGTGTGTAGAGCCACGGTCTCTCCTGTCAGTGCACCCCACGGCGGCATGGGCCGCTCTCCCTGGGGCTGAGTGTTGGCATTGCTGGTTCCGGGAGCCCTTTTCTCCCCACTGTGGCTGTCCAAGATCCCGCTGGCCCCTGCTCCCTCGCCGTGCTGAGGGACAGACCCCAGCACACAGCCGGAGTGGGCAGGCGGTGCTGTTTGCAGGCTGCCCCGTGCATAAAGCAAAGCTCAGACGTTAAAAAGCTGCCGCGGAGTGCGGAGTCTGTGGAGGACTGACAGCCATGGCTGCTCCCTGGGTCAGGCTGTCTGGTGTGGCCGGTCCTGGCAACCAAGGGCGAAGCTGGCCACTGCGTGCCCAGGGGGACGTGCGCAGGCTCCCCAGGTTGGCCGGTTTTGGCATGTGGGATGCCTGGCAAGGCCACCCTCAGATGGCAAATCCAGCTGTGCCGTGGCGGTGGCCAGCTGTGAGCAGTGCTGTCAGTGAGGTTCAGCCTTGCTGCTGGTGCGGAGCCGGGAGAGGCCCCCGAAGCAGCCAGGCAGCGTTGGCGAGGGGTGGCTGGCAGACCGTCTGCGTGGCCTTGGCAAGGTCCCTCGGCAAAGGCTGCCGAGGAGTCATGGGTACCGTGGAGGGGAGGGCAGGTCCGTGGCTGGGACGTGCGGGGAGAAGGGTGGTTTTCCCTGTGGAAGGAGGTTGCCAGGGAGGCCCCAGAGACCCCCGGGGGTGGCACTGCTGCTCAGGCTGGGCACAAGTGATCTGGCACAGCAGCAGAGCAAGGTGAGAAAGTCTGTTCACAGCCCTCCGTTAACTGATGCAGCTAATTAGGCTCTGAGGAGCTGCAGCAGGACATGGCAGTACTGTGTTATACAGGGCCAGGGTCAACCCTGTGCAAAGAACTGGAAAGGGACACAAATTTCACGTTTTCTGTGTGAAACGGTGAGTGCTGAGATTGCCTCTGCCACTCGGCAGGTAGAGCTCCAGGGGATGATCACCATTTCTGTGCCAGTGGCAGTTCAGTGCTCAAGGGGGTCAAATAGCAAATCAAGTGCTAGGAAAAGGGGCAAAGGCAGCAGTGGGGGACAAACCAGAGCCTCCTTACGGTCCCCATCTCAAACCAGGAAAGGCCCAGAGAGCGACAGCACAAGTGGCCAAAGGTCTGCAGCGAGGGCGCGGGTGGCACGTCCTCGGTGGGAGAAGGAGCTCGCGCTGTCTCTGGATCCTGGTCTGAGCAAGAGCAGTTGCCGAGCGGGGCAGCGGTTGCTCTTTTGGCCTGTATCAGATTATGGCTGTGACAAAAACTGCTTTGCGCAATGCAAGTCGTTAACATCTGTTGATTTCAAAGAAGTGTTATGTTCTAACAAACATCCTTCTAAATTTCTTATCCTTCCTTGCTTGCCAAGAACCAACAGCTTCACAGTGGAAGAAACTGAAGAAAATCTCACAAGTTTATTCTGTCTGAAATATTTCCTCCTGATTAAGTTTAACGCGGGTTTCCTCAGCTGTGGGAAATGAACCTTGTGCAGTATCAGCTGCAGCCGTCACCGGCCGCGGCTGTCCCCAGCTCGCTGGTGTGGGATGCAGCGGAGCACAGCCCCTGACCCCACGGCCACCCGCGGTCAGGCATTCTTGCTCAAAGATTTATCCGCAGCGCCTTTTGTGCTAAAATTTATGGATTAAAATGTTCCAGGCACTCCGGTGATGACTTATTCTGGGCTACCCAGCGGCTCCAGCATCCGTCTCCCAGACTGCATCCCCCCATTGTCAGACAGCTTTTCTCCCACACGTTGCAGCCGGCACTTGCGGCAAATGCCCAAGTCTCTTCCTTGGGGCGCGCAGTCCGGGATGCCTCTGACAGAAGAGTGGTGCCGGCTGTAAAAGAAACACTGCTGTCATTAATAGCAGTTGCGTCATTTTCCTCACACACATGCGCTTATTTTAATCCAAGTTATTGCTCCTAATCAGATTATAGACAAACGCCTTGGCAGGCCCGTCTGTCTGCGTTGGCAGGTGAGCGTGAAGCCGCGCAGCGGGAGAGGGATGCGAGAGCCCTTGCTGTAACCTGGTGGCTCAGTGCCTGACAGCGACAGAGGAGGGGACTCTGGGGGTATCTGTCCTCTTTGCAGGTTCCAGGGATTCCGCTCCCAGAGGGTGCTCCGCTGCTCCCCCAGGCGCACCATCACGGGGCAGAGCTGCTGTCAGTCCCAATGCTCAGCACTGCTTTCCTGCCGGCTGCTTTTCCCCTCCGGCGCCCGCAGCCCAAGCTGCCCCGAGCACAGTGGTTCCCACCACAGCCGAGCTGCATCTCCTGTGCTGTCCCCTCCTGCGGCACAGCCGGTGTCACAGACGCTGCCCGTGGCCTGGCATCCTGCTGGGCAGCCTTGAGCCCCGCTGCCAGGACAGCTACGAGGATCTCAGCGGTGTTGGACCTGATCCATAGCGTGCCCCAGTGCTGACTCCGCTCTGAGACGTGACGTTGCAGCTGGGGACCTGCAAAGCTGCCAGCACAGGTCCTCTCGTCCCTGCTGGGTGCTCTGCCCAGTGCTACACGTCTCGTACCACTTTTTTCTGAGAGTAAAACCTTTTAGGGCCATGTTTATTGGTGGCTGTGTTACTGGAGACGTTGCTCTGTCAGGATAGAGGTGTATAGATGGGGACTCCTACACAAGGTGCGTAGCTTACCAGTTGATGGACCATTCATCACGTGGATAACCAGGTGTTCTTCCAGGGGGTGCTGAAGAGGGTTCTTAATTCCTTCCATATATAACAAAATATCTTCATAAGTGATCTGGATGATGGGATCAAGTGTACCCTGATGAAGTTTGCTGATGACACCGAAGTGAGTGGGGAAGTGGACACTTGGGAAGGGAGAGCCACCCTGCAGGAAGACCTGGACAGGCTGGGAGAGTGGGACAAGAACCTTATGAAGTTCAACAAGGACAAGCATAAGGTGCTGCGCCTGGAAAACATAACCCAGGAGTGCGGCACAGGCTGGGATCCACCTGGCCGGGGAGCAGCTCTGTGGAAAGGGCCCTGGGGGACAACAAGCTCAGTACGGGTGAGCAGAGTGCTGCTGCGGCAGAGAGCGCCAACGGGGCGCTGGGCTGCATCACCACGGGCACCACCAGCAGAGACAAAGCAGTCATTGTCCCGCTCTGCTCAGCGCTGGTCAGGACACACCTGGAACACTGTGCTCAGATTTGGTCCCCACTATGCAAAAAGCTGTGGTCAGGCTGGAGAGGGTGCGGGGAACGCCCACCAAGATGGTCCAAGGCCGGGGGGAAGCCGTCCGTCTGAGGAACGGCTGAGAGAACGGGGTTTGCTCAGCCTTGAGAAAAGAAGGCTCAGGGGAGACTTTCTCACCACGTTCCAGTATTTAAAGGGTGGCTACAAAGAAGATGGAGACTCCCTTTTTACAGGGATTTGCATGGAAAATATGAGGGGTGATGGGTACAAGTTGCTCCTGGGGATTCCGATTGGAGACAAGAGGAAGATGTGTCACAATGAGAACAATCAGAACAATGATCTCCCCCGGGAAGTGGTGGACTCCCCAACACTGGACACTTTTAAGATCCAGCTGTGCAGGGTGCTGGGCCGTCTTGCCTAGACCATGCTTTGGCAGGAAAGGTTGGACCAGATGAGCCTTGAGGTCCCTTCCAACCGATTCTGTGATTCTATGAAAAAGAGAATCTTTTCTGATTCAAGGTCTGCGCCCTTGCAGAGGTCTCGATCAAACTCCTCCACTGGGAGGAGGATTCTCCACTGGGAAAGATGCATTTTGCCCATAAACAAATGTCACAGAAAATTCAACAAAGAACAACAGCATCTGCCTCAGCTTTCAAGAAGATAACATATGTGTGGGACGAGAACTAAGACTCTTTTCTTGAACTCTGTTCCTCCGTCACTGATGTTTTGCAGCTGTCTTTGAAGAGGCAAAATAATCCAGAATAGTTTAAAATAGGGCCCCTAGTGATTTATATTATTTTGGGGAAATAGTTTATCCTAAAGGCAAGTGGGCAGATTTGTTTGGCCAATTGCTGCCAAATTGCTTACTGTAACGAGCGGGGTGAGGGCAGCGTACAGCAGCTGATGACACAGCTTTGTGCACGGCAGCGTGCACAACTGCCTGCGGGTTTGTGCAGCTGATCGGTGCGAGAGGAGCCCACGAGCATAAGCAGACGCTGAGGGCACAGATGGTGATGGCTTGTTATGGCAATTCCAAACTTGTGACCTACCCAGAGATGCCAGCACTCATCCTGCTGCGCAGACCGGCGGGTTTCTTGGCGAGGCTGTCTGCTCTGTCCTCCCGCTCTCAAACAGGGAATCGGGGAGAGCGTACCCCATTTGGTGAGATGGTAACCACCACCTGAGCTGCGCAGTTGTCCGAGAGCAAACCACTATATTGCGTACATGTGTAAACCTGCAAAAGCTAAAGCTGAGCCAATGCCTGCCGGCTCACGCTCCTGCCTCACCCGTCTTCCCTATCGGCTCCTGCTGTGTGCAGCACTGCCTGTGTCTGGGACGGCATGCCCGGAGAGCCGGACTGCGGCGCTGCTGACATCCCTTTGGTACCCACTGGTGGGTCTGGACCTTCCCTGGGTGGAGTTTTAACTGTCTGTATGTGCAGCTTTGCTGCGTCTCCACAGCCAGGCACCCCCGACCGTAGCATTTCGCTGCACCGATGTCCATCATGTCACACTCTAAACTCTCCTCTCCCTTTGCATTTGTATTGCCTTACGAAAGCGTGGGGGCATGTCCTTGCCTCTACAGCACTTGCTGCTGTGGTAGATGCTTTTTACAGCCACCTTCTTCTCCCACACCCCATGCCCCATGAAGGGCCTCTTTTTTTATTGTTGAAGGCCTGTCTACAATGCGCACACACAGACATGGACACACATTTACAGGCTTTGCTGTGTTTTTATAGACTGCTCTACATTTTCTGAGCGACAGCCATCATCTTTACTGCCCAAGCTGCCTGCCAACCTGACAGCCCATTGCGGAGGCAGTGGCACAGAACCCTGGAATGGCTGTGGTTGGTGGGGGCCTCTGGAGACCGCCCAGTCCAACCCCTCCTGCAGCAGCATCAGCAGGAGCTGACTGCCCGGGACCATGTCCAGTTGGGTTTTGAAAATCTCCACGGAGGGAGAGTTGAGAGTCTACACCCTCTCTGGGTAACCTGTGCCAGTGCTTGACCATCTTCACAATAAAAATGTTTTTTAAATAGAACTTCTTATATTTCTTTTTTTTTTTTTTTTGGTGCCCATTGCTTCCTATGCTTTCACTGGTTGCTGCTGAGAAGAGTGTGACTCTACTGTACACCTTCCCTTCTGGTATTCATATAAATAGATATGAACACCTTGAGCCTTCTCTTCTCCAGGCTGAACAGTCTCAGCTCTCTCAGCCTTTCCTTATAGGAGAGATGCTCCAGTACCTTCATCATCTTAGTGGCCCTTCACTGGACTCTCTCCAGTAAGTCCGTCTCTCTCCTGTACTGGGGAGCCCAGCACTCCAGCTGTGGTCTCACCAGTGCCGAGTAGAGGGGCAGGATCACCTGCCTCGACCTGCTGGCAACAATCCTGCTTCTGCAGCCCAGGGTACCGTTTGCCACCCTTGCAGCAAGGGCACATTGCTGTCTCATCTTCAATTTGGTGTCCACCAGGACCCCCAGGTCCTTTTCTGCCAAGCAGCTTTCCAGCTGGGTGGCCCCCAGCGTATATTCTTGCACCAGATTGTTCCTCCCCAGGTGCAGGACTTTGCACTTCCCTTTGTTGAACTTCATGAAATTCCCGTCAGTCCATTTCTCCAGCCTGTCGAGGCCCCTCTGGATGGCAGCACAACCCTCTGGCCTATCAGCCAGTTTTGTATCGTCTGCAAAAATCCACAGAGTCTCTGGCAGGGGAGTTTCCTCAGTCTGCCACAGTCCCGGCATCCTTCGCTGGATGAACTATGCGCTCCCGGAAAAATGGGACGTGGCCTTTTTGCACTCTGGTCTTGGTCATTCCTGCGGAGAGCGCAAAGCTGGAATCTCAAAGGCATCGCTGTAGAGGGGACAAGTTCACAGCTGCAGTGTCCCCAGCAGTTCCGTGAGCCTGTGCAGGTCTGCACACGTGGGTTTACGTGTGTCTGTGGGTGTGCAAGTGCACACATGCACTGTGTTTTACTGCCAGCAGAGTGATACCGGTAGAGCCCTGGCTGTGCCCATGTCACGGCATTTCCAGATCCGCCAACAGACTGTTTTACTCACCCCCAACCTACTGCCCTAAGTGCCCCTCACCCTCTCATGGCCTACAGTCTTCATTCCACTCACACTTTCTTGATTTCTTTGGGTAAGTTTGCTGTTTTTTGCCAGCCGAGAGCCCCTGGGGCTTTCTGCATTCCGCAGGGAGTAGGACTGCATTTGTGTGAAACGCTGAAAGGCTTCTGGGGGCGTGCTGGCGAGGTAAAACATCTCTCCTGTCCCTGTCCCCCACTGGTCCCACAGAACCAGGGCTTGTTGGCTGGAAGGAACTGGGCAGAAGGGGCAAGCCCTGCTTTGTATGGGTGGTGCACAGTGCGTATGTGAAATGGTTCCACGGGTACATTTTCTGGACAGCAGGGCTTTGCATAAAGGTACAGATGACCGCCTGTGCAGACACATCTGAAACAACAGCAGGACCGGGTGGGTTTGCTCTCCATGCCAGGCGGCCACGTGTGCCTCGGTTCGTACCTCACCAGCGGCTGCTACTGCAGAGGCTTGGAGGAACGACGGGTGAAGCAAACCCACCAGCATGTTTTGCATGGAGGCTGATCCAGCTCATGCCTGCAGGCTGCCACCCAAACCACTCATGGGACGGTCTCACGGGACGGTCTTGGTGACACCGGGACTGCTGGGGCCCGAAGGCTCACCTCCTCAAGCGGGGAAAGGTATTTTCACTCACAACTTGGAAGAGCTTCAAACCAGCTGCAAAGTGGGGCGAAGGGATAAAATCAGGCTTACTGTGGCAGGAAGACTGGGCCAGGACGGTACAAACCCGTTGGACCGACCACAGCCCCTTCGTCAGGGTCCATTCTTTATGGAGGCCGCATTCTGGGTGGAAACGCAGCAGCCGCGCAGCGCCTGGCTCGGCAGCGCCTGGACCCTGCAGCCCAGCTCCCCTCGGAATCCCGGAGCATCCTTATCCCTCTTGGGGGCTGCCTCAACACAGGTGGGAACGAGCACTTACCGAGGGAAGCCGGGCAGCACCGATGGCCCTTCACCGCAGTGTGCCAGTGCACAGATCCAGACCGGCGTGCAGCAGCTCTGCAGCCCAGCACAGCCACCCTCCTCCAGACGGCCCAGGGCTGGCAGGAAGAGCTGCCGGCAGCCCAGAGCTGCGCCGCGCTCCCCCATCTCCTCCATTCCCAGCGTGCCTGGCAGCCCCGACAGTCCCTGGTCAGCCAGCACCAGCAGCCCCGAGGCTTCAGGCAGAACAGGGCCTTGCGCTGCTATTGGGGCTGCCGCAGGACCTACGGACGCAGGGACAGGAGGCAGAAGCCATCTCCCACGTGGACAATCTTGGCCCAAACCCTGACCCTTGCATCAGCGCCTGCTGGAAGAGCG